TTGAATGCAATATAGCTAGAGCACCAAATGTTAAAAATATTTGAAGGAGGTGATGTGCTACTTCTTCAGCTGTCTTAGTTTTCAAAGGTAGTAGGTGGACAAATTTCGTTAAACGATCTTGATGCCCCATTATGAACTTATATTCGCCATCCTTGTGTGACTACAGGTCTATCAGATCGACTTGATATCTTGAGTTTAACTCTGAACTGACCATTGGTTTCACAACAATACCTTTTATAGGTGCACTATGTTTCATTTGACATTGTTTACATAAATTTAAATACAAAAATACAACTTCATATGTAATGTTTTTGTATTTAAATTCCTCCATGGCTTGTTCTGCTGTGAGTTTCAGATAGTATACTGAACAATTTATCATTGGTAACATAATACTGTATATTCATTTCTCCTGGTTTTAATGGTACAATTAATTTCTCTTCATTAATTTTTAAAACATCAAAATGTTTTAATCATTTGTAATCCAACGGTATGCTGCACTTAGTTTTAGCAGTATTTTAGAGTACTTTTCTTGAGAAAAATGAAAACAATTGTCTTCTTGTTTACTTGCAATTAATGCATGTAACTTTTAAAAAAAAAAAGTTCTTGGTTCACTGCAGAATCCATTCAATATAAACTAGGGTATCGGATAAAAAATAAAATTTAAGAAAACGTTGCACACACTAGGAAACTTTGCATAAGACTGACAAACAGCAGTGTTCCAGAGTATAACAAATAGATACCACATGATTTTAATTGCGGCAGAACAAAGGATTTGGCGACAGACTGTCACCTTTCTGTCAACATCGGCTTCTCGGGTATCATTTCGACCTCCACCAAAGTTTATCTGTGCTTGTCGACATACACTGGCGATTGTTCAAATGTATAATAATATAACCAAGTATTTCATCTTTCATCGACATATTTTGTATTCATTGACATACTCTAATTTCAGTCTTTTACAGTAACATATATACACATATATATAAACACACACAGTATAATAAATATATATAATAAATTATATTATAAAATTTAATAAATTACATTATATATANAATAAAATTTACAAATTTATCTATAATCTGAACACTTTATATTGCTAATTATTTTATATTGTCTTTTTTAATGCATTATATTAGAGTTATAAATTGTACTTGAATAATTTTCTAGTTTACAAATGGCAAGTCAAATAATTAAACAGTAATTTATTATGATATATTGACATTAACCAGATGTTTTTAAATTTTATTTCATAACTTATTTAAGTACTCATTTTGGTTTTTTTACTACTTAGATGAAATAAATAAAATACTTGATAAATAATTCACAATATACGTTATATAATTTTTAAATTATTTTTTTTTGCTTAAATTATTAAAATTTAACCTTTTAGGCATGTAAGTTATGAAATATGATTTTGTTTTAAGAAAAGATATCTAAGAAATTACTTCACAGATTACTTAGCATTTTTCATTCTAAAAATTTAAATTTCTAAAAACAGTCATGCGTCATTATTTATTGAAGCATATATAGTGATATTAATATTTGATAGTGTATTAATAAGTAATCTAAACAAATTGTGATTAAAGATTTAGTATACTTTTTGTCTGTAGTAACTTCTAGCATTATTTTATGATGTGTGGTAAATATAAAAGAACAAAAACAGTTTAAATTTTTGATATGTAATTAATTTAAAAAAAACAATTGAAATTGTTTTTGCATTGAACTGATGTGAAGAATAACTTTTTGATTGAAGTTAAAGTTATTGTTAAAAGTTAGAAATTACCATATTGTTCTGAAAATAATAGTACAACCACCAAGTTTCAAGAAGTGTTTCATAAGAAAAAAAATAAAACTGAATATGGTATGACTTTTCTATACAAACATTCCAAAACCCTATATATATATATATTAGTAATAGGTCAAATGACTGCTGGATTAAATTGGGCTACTTCTCAGCTATTATTTTTAATTAGTATAGTTTGTCACTATAATCATGTTCCTAATACCTGCCTCTAGTGACAAATTATTTAAATATTCATTAAAAATAATAGTGAGCAAGTAGCCTGATTTAATCCTGCAATTGTTTGGCATATAAATTTTTCCTTTTTTCACATCTGCATAATCACCTACATTTTCTTCTTGAGTGATTTTCAACACTTTCAATCAGACAGTTCAGTAAAAAAAACTTAATCTGCCATATCAGGATAAATTTAATAATTATAAATCAATGCAGTGAAATTGTGATAAAAATTCAGTAAACTTCATATCTGCAGAACAGACATGCATGAACAGACAAGAAACAGTATTACTTCATACTTTCAATAGAACTACTCGGATTTTCTATAAATGTGCTTCAAAGTAATTCGTAATACCCACATTATTTGATTTAGAAAGCTTGATGAGACTAAAGAACATCATTTTGTTAGTGGAAATATAGACTATGTAAAATGTTGTATACTCATATCTGATGCTAAATATGGTATAAGGAAGAAATTGTAATGTCTTTTGTCATTAGAATTGATGATTAAATACACTTAACTACTTTATTTCAAAAAACTGGATACTTAATTATATAGCACTCACCAAATAAACCATTACCAGTTCATAACCTAACAGAAAAATTCTTTCTATGAACGTTTTCATTTATATGTAACAGACATCCTCAGGTATTGATGATATCGAACTAACGGCTAGTAGAATACAATGTTTTTGAAAGTTCCATTTAACTATGTAATTTGAATACATTGCGTTAAAATTGAAAATATGTAAAATATTTAAAACATCTCCGAATAAATAATTGATTTCACGTAGATCATGATGTAAATATCCTCCGTAATTTAAAATATCTTTGATGCGCGTTTCAATCATTGGAATTTAATTCAAATATGGCGCACCATGCTGCAGAAAGCGTATTGGTTTCTTTGAAATTAATACCGACCCCTTTTTTAATTGCCTTATGTATCTCCAGCGATTTGAGGTACTTGAGTTGTGCCTTATCTGATACTTTGTTTAGCAATTTAGCATTTTGTAGATCAACATGAACATTTTCATTATTCGCATATGTCACTAGTGTCGTCGTGGTCAGTTTTTTTCTTAGAGTATTCATGTTCTTTCATCCTCATGGCGAGACCTCTTGCAGTTGCTCCAATGTATGTTAAAGCATGGTTAACCCAGTGATCTTGAAGAGGAACTGCATAAACCCCTTGAGAGTTAGAATCTTCTATGCGATTTTTGTCATTTCTGATAAGAGAGAAGACTGTAGGGGACTACTAAAATACACCTAGCGATATGCTAGGTGTATTTTAGTAGTCCTTGCAATCTATATATATATATTAGAAAATGTTTTGTTGTATGTGATAACCCTCATCTGTTCATCTCGTGGCATATTCCTCTCCCTCCTATTTATGTATTGGTTTGAGATGCTTGACCAAAGAGGACGGGTATCCATGTTGCATTGCAAGGGCCTTGATCCTCGACAATTCGTTTTCTTTTTCATTTTGCTCCGAACAATGTGTGTGTGTGCCCTTTTTTACCAAAGCTAAAAAAGCAGAGACTTCGTAAGAATAAGGGTCATGTGAGCAGTTATGTATAAATACATATATGGTAAAAAGTAACAGATTTTCATGTTTGTAGCCCAAAAAATAATTAGTAGTCCAAAATAAAAATTAACCCACTCTGGCAACACCACTGCATCATGCATATCTGTATTGATATCATATACTGACAGTATGGTCATCATTGTTTGTTCTAAGTTACAGTAGAGCCTCAAAAACTCGGCCTAATGTGGACCGAAGGGTGGCCGAGTTTGTGAAAATGCCGGGTTATCGGGAATGGGGTTAAAAAAGGATAAGTATGCGTGTTTCCTCAGAAAATATTGTACTGTACTTGTATGTATTGTTTGCTTGAGAATACAACAGAGAATAAACTGTCCAAATACCCTTAAACAAAGGAAAAGTACGTCCTTTATGAAGGCATAGAGCCTTTACTACATGAAAATGAAAATTAATGAATACACTGTGTACAGTAATTTACCTGATAAGACAGACCTCAGAAAAATACTTTGAGAGCTTTTATACTTTTATAAAGCTGTCTATAATGAAAATTAATTAACTAAGGATTTTTTTGCCCTGCCAAGGTGTGGCCGAGTTATCCGAAGTGCCGAGTTTTCGAGGCTCTACTATATAAGGAAAGTTTGATTTTTGGGGCAAAAATTTCCTTGAAAAAAGTGCAAGTTGTTTGACCTGTAGGAGATTCAAGTTCTGAGGTATTGCTGTGTTATGTAATAATTGATAAGTTTTTGTTTTAATTAAAATTATATAAATTTATTATTTTTAGAATCAATACTAAAATAGTTAAATAATTTATGATGATTTTATATTTAATACATATATATACTATTGTGATCAAAAAAAGTATCAGGAATGATTAATTAAACTGCGTGGTGCAAGAGGGTGTTGTTTTTCATGGTTTCTTACAACTTTCATCGATATCTAGCAGTAATCTGTATGTCATCACCTGTTTTCATTTGCAAATAAATGCTTGTTTTGTGTGTCAAGAATTTTTATGCTTACAAATTTTTAAAATGTAGAGTGTAATTGAGCAAAGAATGTGCATTAAATTTTCTTTTCACAATGGAATTACTGCTCTGGAAATGTTGCAAAAAGCCTTTGGTGACAATAGTCTATCAAAAACTCTTAATTTTGAATGGTATAAAATGTTCAAATTATTTGATCCTATAAAGTGAAATTCACTGCAAATCCTGAAAGTATTATTACAAAAATGACTTTAAAACATGTTTCAAAGATTGGAAAAACATTGACATAAGTGTATTAAAATGGGAGGGGATTACTTTCAAGGGGACAAAATAAGTTTTGATGAATAAATTCAAATTAGCATTTTATTGAACAATTCCTAATACTTTTGATCATAGGGGTATAACACATATGTAATTTATTTTATTATTTAACTGTTTTTTCTCTTGTATTTTTTTTTAATAGGAAAAATTAAAGAACAAAAAGAAAGACTATATAGGCAGACCATAGAGCTTAAGGAAGAAATTCTCCAAAAAGAATCAGTCAAATATAAAATTGTTTTTCATAACATAAAGAAAGAAAATGAATCAAGAAAAAATGGTAAATTTTTTTGAAATACAGTGGAACCTCTATATATTCGTAATATTTGATATTTGTCACATTTTGATGTTTTATTTTTCCATATTCGTCAGTATTTTCTGTATTTATCATCATTCCCAACACCAGAAGTGGCACTATAGTTGCACGCCCATGCTGATCAGCTAGCCATGTTAGCTAGCTGTAGTTAATCAGTATGCTTTGTGCAGTCATTGTGTGTTGAGTTATTGAAAAATAATCAATGTGAGAAACCAAATTCCAATCGCTCCAAGGTGGCACCCGAATGTTGCTATAATCAACAAAAATATAAATACATTCAATGATAATGTAATTGCCTACTTCAGAAAAGTTTTAAAAAGCAGACAAAAATACATAACACTGGACAAGTTCTTTATTAAATCGAGTGCTACTGAATCATCAGCAAAACAGACTCCATGATCATAATTGGAATTACCTAATGTTTTAATTGATATGTCTTCTTCTGAACAATAATACTATATTAATAATACTGTTTACAAACAACATAATTTTTATTCTTTTACCTTTTTTTCAGGATGGGAACAGATTAATTGAATATCAGTTATTTATTATGAGAAAAATTGTTTCTATATTTGTCATATTCTGTATTTGTTAGGTCCTTAGGAACAGATTAATGACAAATGTAGTGGTTTATTATAAGAATAGATGAGTAAATATATAGTATACATGTGTTGCATTTTCTTTTTCTATGTTTAATTTATTTAAGATGAGCTATCTTATCAAATCTGTAATTTGGGCTCAAAAATCTATGGAGAGTTAGTTTTTTAAAAAAAATCTTTAAAGAAAAACTAGTTAAACTTAATTAATTTAGTGTTTTATTGTTTATTTCATTTTTATTGTCATTTTTTGTAGAAAGGAAATGGAATGATTGTGTAATTAGTCAAGTAGGGGTAATTCAGAAGCATAGCAAGGGATGTTGAGTGGTATGTGTTTACAATATTAGATTATGATGTTCTTTTGTGCCCTATCCATTCTGGATGTTTTATGTCGTTAGAGCTATCATATTCTTATTGCTGACTCTTCTGAACAGTTCTTTCAAAGACATTTCTTAGCCATGAGATTCAATCTTGTCTTGGTCCTCTTTCCAGAGATTCTTTCCTTATATAACAAGTTGTAGGATTTGGGACTTGACACCATTTCTCATCACATATCCAAAGTATTCCAACTTTCTTTGTTTAAAGATGTTGAGCAGTTCTTGTTGTTTTTTCATTCATCACAATATTTCTGTATTGGTCACATGTTCTACCCAGGATACTCTTAGAAGCCTTCAGTAAATCCGCATTTCGAAGGCTTTGATTTGCTTTTCAGATATTTCAGATATTATCAGATACAATCCAAGATTCAACTCCATATGATAGCACTGGAAACACACAGCATCTGATTATTCTACTTTTCATACCAAGGGTTAGATCTCTAGAACATAGCTATTTTTTCATTTTTGTGAAAACAGTTCTTGCCTTTTTTATTTGTGTTCTGATCTCTTATCATGATCCCAGTTTTCATTCAAGACAGTTCAGTAATCAAATTTTTCTACTCTTTCAATTTCTTTTGATCCAGCCTTCTACTTGCCCTGGGTTGATGTCCTATTTATGACCATATTGGTCTTTTTGATGTTGAGCTCTTAAACCATATTTTTTGCTTGAGGTTCTGACTCAATCTAGAATCATCTGAAGGTCTTTAAAATTTGTGGAGAGCAGTCCTTTGTCATCAGCATAACAAATGTTATTCAAATATTCTCCAATGATCTTGATGCTGGTGTCAAGATTAGCCAGTGCTTCTGGAAAAAATGTTTTGAGTATATGTTGGAGACTGGAGGATAATACACCGCCTTGTCGTACACCTCGATCTGAATTTGCTGTCAGTTGACGTTCCCTCTGCCCTGTGTGGTTTGATTCCAGTAAAGATTGATGATGATTCTGATGTCTGTCATCAATGCCAATTTTCTACAGTGCCTGGATTATCTTTTCATGTTGGCATTTGTTGAAAGCCTTTGTATGATCTAAAAAGCATATATGTATGTCACATCCCATATCTCTGCATTTTTGTATGAGCATCTGCATTGTAAATAGGCCCTCCCTAGTGCCCGTGGAATTTCAGAAGTGAAATTGTGTTTCTCTGGTGTTCTCTTCACATTTTTTGTAAATTCTGTTTTGAATGATTTTTAAGAAGACCATGAGGTTGGTAGTTCTGTATTTATCATATGACTTTGCATTGGCTTTTTTTTATTTTTATTTTGTATAGTGAGAAAAGTCGATTGCAACTAATCATTTGGGAGGATGCCTGTGACATAGATGGCATTAGAGTTCTGTTAGTTGATTAATGTTCACTTCTGATAGGAGTTTCAACATCTCTATAGGGATGTTATGTGGACCATTTCCTTTCATGTTTTTGAATGATCTTGAAACCTCTCTCTCCAGTATTGGTGGTCCAGTGTTACTGTTTGATAGATCATTCTCCTATTATCATTGAATAGTTTTTCTGTGTATTCTTTCCCTATATTAAGCTTGTCTTTTATATCTACTGCCAGGTTCCCATCCTTGTCTTTTAGCTATGAACATATCTTCTGCCTGCACTTTCCAGTAGTTTCTCTGATCATCTTGTTCACATTAAAGAGATTGTGTTTTTCTGGTATACTTCTAACTCAGTGCACAATTTGGTTTTATGACCTTATTTTTGAAAGTTGTTCTTAAGTCTATTAAGAGAGTATGTTATTGGTCATTCTTTCTTTCTTCTTTTTCTTTTATTTTCTTCCATTTAAATTCTACAGATGTTCTCTTGATATGTTCTCGTCTTTTCTAATTTCTCTTGTACTGTCTCTTATTGTTGCTCTTTGTATTTCATCTTTGAGGATGTCATGGTCAGTTTGTGATTTGGGGATGGGTTTATACAGTTTCAGATGCAGATGGCAAATCAATGGATTGTAGTCTGATATGTCTGCTCCAGGGTAGGTCTTGGTTGCAGTGATGCTGTTTTATTTATCAGAAAAAAGTCCTATTTGACTTCTAAGAATGTTATCTGGTTTATCGCCAGAGACTTCCAGGTGTAAAGCCTTCTGGGAAGCAGTTTGAACCAGGTGTTGATCACCATCTCTTCTTCTGCAAAACTGTATGAGGCAAGTCCCTCTTTCATTTCTTTCTCCAAGACCATGTGGTCCAATGATATCTTCCTCCTTGCCCTGAAATCTCCCATTATTATTGTGATCTTACTTTTCTTGTGTGTTTTAACACTGCTTTGATCTGATCATATAATTCTTCAATTTCTTCCTTTCCTTTATCTGAAATTGAGGCATAAACCTGTATGACATCATCCCCAAATGGATTACCTTCAAATTTGGTCATGATGATTGTATCCAACAGTTGTGTTACATTGCTTACCAATCTTGCTATTGCTTTGTTTAGTACAGGGGTCGCCAAACTTTTTTGATCGTCGACCCCCTAAACTTTTCAAAACCTCACATCGACCCCCACCAAAAAGTTTGTTACAAGCAAAGAAAAAGCTCTTACTATTTTAATATATATCTTTTAATTTTACATTTTTTTACATTTATTGTACATATGTTAATAATTTTTGTAACTGACAATCAATGAGATGGATAAGATTGATAATCCTTAGCAAGATTAGTAATATTCAATTCAAAATTTATAAGTTTTAGTCTTTTCATTGAACCCCTAATAATGTTATATCGACCACTTTGGCAACCCCTGGTTTAGTATCACCCTGACTCCATTCTAATGTTTTTGTTCATCATTGCTGAAAGTATTCTGAAACACAACATATGTGATATTAGAATCTGTATTTTACAAATGTCACAATAGTGCTAAGTAAATTATTAACAAAGTTCCAATAGTAATATTGTGCACCAAAGATATCAAAGTTTATGAAAATATTTAGAAAAGTCTTTATAAATCCATTTTTACAAATTATTTCCATAGGAAAGGAACATAATCCAAACTATTGATGAAATAAGGACAAGGCAAGTCTTGGTGTGGTCTGATATTACTTCCCTAAAGAAATAATTCACACCATAAAAATTAGTGCTATTTCAAAGTATGAAAGTTATCCTAGAGAAATCCTTTCTCTTATTTTTAAAAGTTATGTTAAGTGTTGTTATTAACTAATGTTATGGAAGAGTAACTAGATAGTCATTAACTGAAATTTTCAAAAATATCAAAATAGTTATTTCTTCAGTTATCAGTAAACATGTTCCTAAACAAATATATTTACTTTAAAACTCATCCATCAATGTCATTATGCAAAATAATTAAGTATATGGTCTTTAAAATTTATTGCTCATGCTGGTAGCATTGAACTATCAGCATTGAACTTCAGGTGTTTGTTTAATGTCTGAAGACAGTTCAACATAATGTATTGCTTGATCATTATTCATGAATAGTATCTGGAGTAATTGCGAAAAGTTAAAAAGATTGTCCCATGTTTACATATTTTCAGTAATACAGTTATTGACTTTTTGTGAAAATAACATTCAAGGTGCTGAAGTATAAAAGAATCAGAAAATCATTTTGAAATATAGCAAGGTTCTAATGCATGCAATGCAATGTGAATATTTTAGTTTATTTATATACCAGAACATAATACAAAATCATAAAATTTCCTGCTGTGTTACTTTCAGATTTTAAAAGTAAGTTTGGCCATTTTCAACTGAAATCTCTAGTTGTTGAACTAAAACTAAAGAACAAATTTTGTTTTTTAAAATTTCTTAATGGATATCTTAAATATTTAAAGAAATCATTTTAATAATATAGTAGTTAGTTTTCATTGAATTTTATGCATTCTATAATCTTGATCTGAATTCTAGTTATGTTTGAATATAGAGAAAAGCAAGATAAAAGTAATTTTTTCATGCTTAGCTTGGTTGGAATGAATTATATTCATAAAAATAATAATGTCAATATTATTTTTATGAATATAATTTATTCCCTTCTTGTTCATTTTATTTAACTACATTTATGACTAAATTTGTAATGTATAACTAGTTTGGACATTTATAATTATAAATTGCTAAATTATTTGTTTTTATTGAAATAGAAATCATATTGTACATCAATCATGTAAAGAAAAATCTNATAGATTAACATTTTTGTTTCAGGAACTTTGAAACTTAAACCAATGTTAGTGTATCATTCACAGACACCACATGCTTTAAAGAGTCTAAATAAAGACATGTTGCCATTTTATTGGAAATGGAACAAGAAAGCTTGGGTCATACAAGATGTTTTCACAGATTGGTACAAAAGTTATTTTTACTCTACTGTGCTTTGCTTTTGAGAAGAAAATAAATTACCACCCAAGGCACTTCTCTTGGACAATGCTCCAGGACATCCTCGAAACCTTGATGAAATAAGAACACCATTGTATGTCAGGGTTGTTTACATGCTTTCCAATACAACATTTCTTTTGCAACCAATGGATCAAGTGGTTATTGCAACCTTCAAAGCTTATTAACTCTCATCATTTCCAAGAATGTATTAGAGTTTTAGACACTTCAGACAAAACAGTTAAAGACTATTGGTTGTCTTTTGATATTTTGAAAAGCATTAAAAACATCAAGTCAGCTTGGGATTCAGCTTGTTCAGCAAAATGCTTAAATGGAGTTTGGTGTAAACTACTGCCAGAATTCATGCATGATTTTAAAGTAGCACATCAGGAGAATTTAATTGAAGACATTACCAGGCTTGCACTTAATGTGGGATTGGAAGATGTAACAGAACTTTTAGAAACCTATGATCAGCCACTCTCAAATGAAGACTTAGAAGAATTATACAAAGAATTAGATCATGAACAGTCAAAGAAGGAAGAAAACGAAGAAGAAACTCCAAGAGTTATGAAAACAGTCTATCTAAATCCTATCCTTTCAACTATGGAAAGTTTGACGGATGAACTTTGAGTTAGACAGCGATTGGGAGCGAAGTGCAAATGTAAAAAGGAGCACCATCACATCCATTCGGCCATATTCCAAAATTCTTAATGAAAGAAAACAAAAATTTAAACAATTAATGATGGATTTTTTTTTTTTAAATGTGAGATCCAAAACTTTGAAATATTATTTGTTTTCCTTAAGATTTTTTAATAAAAACATTTCACTTTATTTTATCATAAAATACATTTTAAAAATTAAATTTATTTGTATTTTGTATTATATTGTATTAATAAACAAAATTATTTGTGTATTTTTCACTTATGTAGAACCTAACCCTATAACTCAGTGTAAATATGGGTTCATTTTATGCCAATTCAATTTGTGCCGGCTTTTGTAGGAAAAGAACTGCAGAGTAAACAGAGGGCTACCTTTAGTATAATAAAAAAATTGTATAATTTTTGTAAATAGTCATAATTCAATTCTCAGATTTTCATTCTTTTGTAATAAAGTATTTTATCTGACTTTAAGTTTTTATACTGGCTATTAAACATAATTCTGATGACTAATGAAGTTGTTTAGAACATCTTTTTTCAACTGATGTTCTGTAGAATAATAATTTTTTTTCAGATATGCATTCATTTTACTGCAAACACAAGATAATTTAGAAATATGTAAGTTTATAAATCTAGAGTTACAGCCTGTTCCAGCTACAATTTTTATTTATTAAATGTTTTTGGCTATCTGAGTAGCCAGGATTCAAATAGTAGACCATTAAATGAATGTTCCATCTTCAGTTTTGAACATTTATGTAGTGATCTACTATTTGAATGTTCAGTCTTAAGGATGGCTATTTAGATAGTGGAAAATGTGTAGATATAAACATCTACTGAAACACAATGCTTAGCAAATAGATACCCACAATTGCCATAAATAATCAGGTTAGTAATAGGCTTATATATACTGGAAGAAGAGATCGGATCGAAGATCTGGGTAGTGTAACTGGCAACACATCCACATGGTAAGCGGGAATTACAGGTTTGGGTTTTGCTTCAGGCTGATTCTTTTCTTCCAGTTTATTCTAAATTAATTAATTAAATATTATAATTATTAAATTTAATACAATGTGGTGCCTAACACCTCCCTCTAGTGCCAAATTTATTTGTAATTCATAATTATTTCCAATTTATAGCCTGATTATTTACGACAATCGTGGATGTCTCTTTGGAAAATGTGTAATAAATCAAAAAAAAAAAAATGTAGCTGGAACATGCTATAACTTCTTAGATTTATAAAGTACTAGCTTACCCGTCACGCATTGCTGCAAACTCAAAAGAAATGAAATTCAAGCAAACTCGTTATGATAAAATTAAATTTACATTTTATCATTTTTATTGAAACTTATTATTATTATTATTATTATTCATTTTCATCGGGAAAACATTTCAAAGTGTCGTTTCAATTCTATTTATTTATTGAAGTGCTTATGGATACACGATATTTTTTGTTTTTCCGTCTGGTGTGTATGCGAATAAATCAGAAGGTTTTCCGACACGTGAGCTGGCCACATATAGTTGTACATGTGAGAAGCACAGATTCTTTAAATTTAGCCCACATACTCGCAGAGATTGTTAGAAGTGCATATTCCCCATTTTTATATATTTTTTAAAATCCTTTATAATTTTGATTATTTAATTGCTCCTTTCTCTCTTCCTTGGCATGTTGTGAAATTTGTGATAGTTGGATAATAAACTGTTTTATTGTAATTTGTCTTTTTAAATTATTTTGAGTTGATATTAAAATTGGGAAAAGAGGGGATCCCTAGATTGGTAAAATAGGTGAATTTCCTCCTACAACTTTGGTTGTTGTTCGGGATACAGTTAAGGTTTTAACAGAGTTCAAGCAAATACATAATTAACAAAAAAAAGTTGAAATAAAGTGATTAAACAAAAATTATTACAAATATCGTAAATAACAAATGCATATATAGAGAGATTTTTTGGAGAGGGGAAATGGTTTTCACAATTTGAAATCGATCGAACACACAGAATACACAGTGCTTGTATACACGCACGCCATCTATCGTAGGATAAATGTACTATGCCAGAAATCTTCGCGGGAGTGTATTAAAAAGCTTTCCAAAGTTTCATGGCAATCGTACTATGCCAGAAACCTTCGCGGGAATATATTAAACGACTTCCCAAAGTTTCACGGCAATTGGATAAACGGTGTGGTAATGCATGAAGGACACACACACACATTTTTGTATATATAGATTAAGTAATCTATGATTTGGTGAAATCATTAATTGCTAGTTCAACTTTAATTTTTCTTATTGGTTGGTTACTGTTGTTCAAAGAGTTTCCTCAAAACCAGTATGAGGATTGGTAATTTTCTGCAAATTGAATAACTTGAATAAAGTATGATGCTTTAAAGTTTTGGTAAATATAGCAATATACATCAGTGTATATCATGTATTTTATAATTTTTTCCTCCTCTTAATTTCAAATACCACTTTATCCTCTTCTATTTTACTTTCCATTGTAATTAATTTTCTAAATACATTTATATAGACTTTTAACGTTTTTAAACATTAAAAGTCATTACTTAAAAAGTCATTTACTGAATTTTATTTTAAAATTCCATTTCATTAAAAACAAGAAAAATACACAAATTTAAAATGATTGGAAATATTCAAATATTTAATTTTGTTGTTCAGAATGCATTTTAAACAATTTTTATACATTATTTAACTTGTAATTTTTAAACCAAAAAAATATTATTCAAAATTAATGTTTTAAACAATAATACTGAATTTTTAGTTGTATCTAAAATAAAATTTTATATTTATTAGGCTTCAGTATGCATGATATCTGCAGGAAGGTAGAAGTCATTTTGCTATGCAGAGAAAATGGTAAAAGTGATATTGTAGATGCAGTGAGAAGATATTCGGTAGAAAAAGAATCAAAGTTAAAATTTTGTAATTATTTGAAAGGTAAGTATTGATTAATAGTGATAAAAGTTACACTAAAATTGATTCAATAATAATGAATAAATATAAAATATTTTTAAATTTTAAAAGTGTTATCTGAGATAGCATGTTATGTATTATTCTTTTTTAATAATAATCACTTGTAATTCATTAGGGTTTGTAGAAATTGCATGATTTCTTCTTTTATGTCTCACTTCAAACTGCTGACTTTTTTATAGATTATTTTAAAATCAATTAATAAATAAAATATATAATAAGTATTTGTCTTAACTTCCAAACTGATTTTATATATTTCAAGTAGCTGATATTTTCATTGTTTTCAAAGACAAGCTTTACAATTGTATTATCATCATTTTTCTTCCTGCACAACCTTTTTACATTTCCATCAATAGTCTAATTGTATGCAAATAATTTGCTACATAAATGCACAAGTATTAAAAAATTATCTAATATAATAGTTTTCATGAGTCATTTACTTTGTAACTATGCAAATGTTAGCAATATGGTGCTGTTTATATCTACTTATAACAAGCAGTTATTAGAAGACAGAAGTTTTAACTATTTCTGACAAACATTTGTATTGTACTATTTATTATTTCCTTACTTTTTATACTGTTGTTTACAGAAAATATCAAAAAATTAGGTTTTTAAAAATAATTTTAGGCAAACATTAATTATAGAGTAGTGCATCTATTGTCACTGTTTCTTAGCTTGACAGTATGTTATTTTATGCCAAAATTTCAAGTTGGATTTTAACACCATTGGTAGCAAGTTTTTCCTTGTGTATTTTATACAAGCCTAATTTTAATTTTATTCATAAAGCTTTTAGTCCTTTCTTCCATAGGATTTTATTCTTTTATAACTACATTTTTTAGCCATTTAATTGAACTTAATGCACCATGATTTTACCCTTCAATCTCTTCAAACTGCTGCAGTTTATAAATCTACCAATCTTATGTAGATTATATTGAGACCTGTACTTATAGAATATTGAATGCAGAAAAATATTCAAACTTTCAAGAATTTAGTCTGTTTTCAAAATTATGAACATACCCAACTTTTTTTGATAACAAAAACATTAACAAAAATAATATGTTTATTATATTAGTATGTTGTTACAACATCAATTTAAACATTTTCTGAAATTTTTAGAGCTGTCAGACAATTACAAAAAAAAAAAATTATCAGATTTTCAATTTTTAATTGTTTCAAAAGTATAAACACAAGTGCATAAAATTAGTATGATAATTTTTTTTTATTAACTATTGGTTTAAATTAGTTGTCACCAGAGGATTGTACAAATGTGGTGCCAATTTTAAACAGGTTTTTGTAATTTAATACACTATCTCATGGAAAAACATTCTGTTAGTGCTTTTGGAAATACATGTAATTTACTAAGGGAACAGGACAATCTTTTGACAAATTTTGGCAGCTGTAAATTGATCTACATGTGCTGTGAGAAATGTGTTAACTCAGGGTGAAAATTACAGCAGAAATAAGAGAAGTGGAAGGCTTAAACTCCTTACACTTAGAAATAAGAGATTTTTTTGGTTACTGAAGATCAACAAGTTGTCTGTCAGAGAATCAGCATCAACATTGCCAATTGTAGTTTCACCAACAACTGTATGGAGATGTATGCATAATAAAAATGTCAAATTTACAAAAATTATTGCCAAACCGAAATTAACACAATTGCACAAAACAGCTAGATTAAAGTGGGCCAAAAATAAGATGACATGGAAAGAGGAGTGAGAACAAATAGCCTTTTCAGATAATAAAAAAATGGAATTTGAAATATCAAGAAGTGTTATATCAAAATTTAATCACTTTTGGATCACTAATTGGGTGAGAGAACTGGAAATTCCAAGAGGATAATGCTGCCATTCATGCATCAAAGTCAGCTAAAAATTGTTTTGCCAAAAAAAAAAAAATTAATGTAATTGATTAGCCATTGTGGAGTCCTGATATGAATCCAATAGAGAATGTTTGGGGCATTACGAGTTGTCTTGTTTATGGCCAAAACAGACAATACAACACTGTAAATGAACTGAAATTAGCTATCATGGATTGTTGAGAAAATATTAAACAGCAAAATGTATGTCTGAGAGTATTTGATTAAATCAAATGGTAGATCTACAAAATATTGAGACATCATAAATCATTTTTTTATGCACCTGTGTTTATGCTTATGAAACAATGAAAAATTGAAAAATCTGTGATAATTTTATTTTTGTAATTGTCAGATAGCTCTAAAAATTTCAGAAAATGTTTAAATTGATATTGTAAACAACATACTATTGATAATATAATAAGTACATTACTATTCTTAATTGAAATTCAGATTATTTACAAAAATATCAACTTTTCGAGTCTATCTTTATCCATTTTATAAACCCCAGAAGTAACAGTTAACATGTTTTTTTTTTTTTTTTGAAGAATATACTTCTTAAAACAAAGGTAAACAATAAGTAAAAAAAAAAGTTCACAATGTTAAAAACGATCAAGTGTCAGCCTTCTGTTATAGGTTCTGACACTTTACATTAAAAACATGAAGAATTCTTCTCATCACATTGTCCTTATCTACTTTTAACTGCTTCAGGCCCTCTGGTGGTAGTTACGAGTTGTCCTTACTTAATTTGCATAGCGATACAATTTCTGTACTGTAATTACTCAGGATATATTTCTTCTTAATTGAAGTTCAGACTATTTACAAAAATATCAATATTGTATAAAATGGATAAAGATAGACTCGAAAAGTTGATATTTTTGTAAATAGTCTGAACTTCAATTAAGAAGAAATATATCCTGAGTAATTACAGAAATTGTACATTACTATTGTTAATGTTTTTGTTATTGAAAAAAGTTGGGTGTGTTTATAATTTTCAAACTGTATATGGATACAATACATTAAAATACTAGTGTAAAAATACTAAGTTAAAATTTGTGTTTGGTATAAATTTTATTATATGTTCTATGAAGTATGCTACTTAAACAAAATTGTTTATTATTAAGAGCATTTATTAATTTCATTAGGAAATGCAGACTTTCCTGATCCAGATTTGATATTACAATATGGTCCATGTCGATCTGTGATGGGTTATTTGCCATGGCATATTCGTTTGACAGAAATGACGTGAGTATATCCTTACTTGTATAGAAATAACCCTGTAATACTCTATTCTTTTAATAATTAAATTATTGAAATAATAATGAAATTTTTAGATATTACATTTTCTGTAAGAAAGAATTTTGTATAAATCTTTTACTTTCCTGTTATGAATGAAATATTACAAAAAATTAAAAATAAATTCTCTCTCAAAATATGTATTATAACAACTAGCTGTTACCCGCGGCTTCGCTTGCATGGATTTTTCAAGCAAACCCTATTTACATTCAGTATTTCAACAACCATAGTAATTGTTATTTAACACCTACTGCTGAGAATGATGAGAATTGTTGAGAATCAAACAAACTGTTTTTAATTTGATAAATTTTCTGAAACATTTACAATCATTTTATAATCAAACCAATATGCAAAAAGATATTTGAATTTAAAACAGTTCAAACATTTGGTTAAAAAATCGAAGTATATAAATATTTATAACAATGTCTGAAATGTTATCAATTTAATATCCCTAAGTACTCAATGAAGACTAAACGTTGTTGAAAACAAAACAACGCATCTAAAATAGTACAGTAGAAGCCGTTCTTCAGATTAAGCCTTAATACTTTCCCTCTCCTCCTGCGGGGGAATTTCGAAAAATCCCTTCTTAGTGTGCATTTTCATGACGTACTCTGTGTACCAAATTTCACCTTTAGGTTCTGGAACTTTCTAGAAAAAACTGGAACATTCTCATTTGAAACGTCACATATTTTCAAAGTCAACCACTTTCAAACCCCATATCTCTCACAACCTTATAGCTATCGAGACACAACCACCATAGTGCACGATGGGAGACTTGGGGCTACTACCACACACAAACACCATTCATGTGCGATATGTAGTTTTGGCTGCAGAGTGACGTATAGGCACAAACACGTCCATTTATATATATAGATACAAATAAGAAAATGAATCAGTTAATGTAACTATGTAAATGTACTATAGAATAAAGAATATTAACAATTTTTCATCAATAAAATATAAAAATATTTTATTTTTAATAAAGTATTTTTCAAACCTGAATTTTTTAAACAAAAATTAGGCCATATAAATTTTATAATAATAATTATATCTATACACTAGTTATGACTATATATTTCAAGATTAGGATGAGGTAAGTGCACCCTTGGAGTAACTGCATCTTTCTGTAATATCTTACCAGCTTAATTTAAACTGACTGATAATACATTTGTAGCTCATAAATTTAGGTATTGATAGTATTCAAGCTTGTTTTAACATGACTGCCAGAAGATAAAACCAGACTTTTCAAACCATTGCTGCAACCACAAATTTTTATATTTAAAATTCAATATTTGTGATTGTAATTTTAGGCTAAAATATTTAGAAAAACATTATGGAATAATAAGTGCAAATATTCTAAAGTTGTAAAGCATCTCACCTGTTTGCTTTATGACAGGGTGCATTTACCCATGAAATTTTAATCATTGGGGTAAGTGCACATGCCAGTGAGGTAAATGTACCTCTTGTATTCTACACACACACTCCTCAAGATGTGGCAAAAGAAAGCTAGTGGTTAATTACTTTTAGTTTTAACTTTAGGAAGCATCTTATTCCAGATCATAATAAGACATAGACTATCTTTTCAAGAGAAACTTACTCTCAAATAGTTTAATTTGGTTTTGTAAATCACTTTACATTTCTATTGCTACTAAGGACCTAAATTACAATAACTATTGCTGGTTTTACTGTTGCCTTTTAATGTTCATTGTTACTTCATTTGCTGTAGCTATACTTGCAGTGGAGTGAGTATACTGAAGTTTCTCTAAATTGTGTTAGAATTTTAACAGAATGGTTTTTGGGCTTATCATATGTGGTTATATCTTTTATTTAATTACTAATTTTAAAATATTTTCACAGCCAATTTTTGTAAAAGGAAATGGTTATGAAAATAATGTTAAATTAGAAATTAAGTAAAATGTATAACCACGTATGATAAGCTCTAAACTTTGAATTTAGTGTTACCATTTTAACATAAAATGATACAAAATAGAAAGGCAAGAAGTATTAGTCAAAATGTATTAAAGTTACTACACAAATGACAGGTTACTTTCACAGCTTTTGCACTTGGTCCACATTTGGCTTCCCAGCTATTACAGTGGAGAGTGTATTTATCCTTACTATTAAGGGTAAGTGCACTCTCCAATAAACTTATTTTGGCTCAACAAATAATACTGAATCAATATGAAAGGTAAGGAACAGGCAAGTTATTCCAGCAATTAGTTTTTAAAATCAGATAATCTTTATTCTACGTCATTGGCTGAAACATTCAAATTTTTGAGTTGTTGTATTTACCTCACCAGACTTTTAAGCAATTTATTTTAAAAACTTATAATCAATTAATTCTTCCTCTTCTTAGCATTGAAGTCCTGCTTCTATGAAAGGTCTGCTTTCTTGCATGCCCTTCTCCTTTTGGTACGGTTCAATCCGTCTTCTGGCGTGACGTTTACCCTCCTCATGTCATCTAATTAATTAATTAATTAATCAATTAATTATCTTTAGAATATATTAAAATTCTTATTTTAATTTTAGCTGTCAGAAATTTTAACTTTTGTTTTTTCCTTCTTACAGTTTTTCAAGAACCCATCATCAAATAGATTTATCAGACTTTTTTAATAGTCTGGTTAGGTATAATAAATGTGAACAACGTTTTGGTAAATAAAATTTACAAATCTGTATTTTTATGATTTTGTTCATAATTATCATATTTGGAAATCATATCATATGTGACTGACAAAAATGAAATATTGAATTTGTGAATTGTATGTTTTCATAAACACACAATGCTGTATTAAAATAAACAATGTTTAATGTTATAACAATATATTTTTAATATCAAACTTGCAATGATCTTAAAATTTCAGATTTTATGCTTTGCTGTAACAATTATTTTCTGTTTAGGATATTATTATTTTGGGTAAAACAAAAACCATATAATGTTGAGTTCTTTAACATTATAATTTCATTGAAAACATTTCATATTACAAATTTAAATTAAATTGTTAAAAATTCTTTTATATTCAACTAATTTAAGATACTTGTAGAAATTTTTAAGTTGTAAGAAAGACAATTTTTGATTTTTAATAATTTTTAAAATGTTAACAGTACACAATAAGGTGAGAATTACATGACAGTCTTTTTATAACAATTGAAAAATTAGACAATGCATGATACACACCATATATGCTGGCTTATAAGCTTGATCTTGAAGTTTCTAGCTTAAAATTCATTGCCCATAACACAAATCAACTTATATGCAGTAGGATATTGATAGGATAGCATTAAAATGTGGATAAGAATCTGATAGCCTAATGCAAAAGTGTATATACTGTATAATAATGTCATGTTGCTTTCATAAAAAAACATTAACCACAATATGTTTTAATATACAATATTATATATTTTATGACAAAAGGAATATGGACAATAAGAAATAAGTAGAACACCAGACAGCCACTAAAAATCTTCAATGAGTTATCTTGTAAGAACTCTATTAGGCTCAACCAAGCTATTAACAGTCTAGTTGTTAGACAATAGTATTCTGCAAAAATTACCCAATAATAGTATGACAAAACTAAATATTTGAATACTGTTAGATATTTGATAAATTCAGTCTGTAAGATATTGAATATTTTGAACATTATTTAGAAAACAAGATAGGAATGTTATTATTTTTAAGCAAATGTTTAAATTTCTTAATACAGGTAAACATGTATCGAATATTGACAAGTTTTGATATCCTGATGATGATTTTTACTTTCTCCACTGTTATACAGAGGGAAAGTGTGGTGATCAGACAAAAAGTGACCTCCCCCTCAGATTTTTATATTTTTGGACTTAGGATACTTTGAAACGTCAAGAAAGTTAGGGGATTGATGTTATTAAATTTTGATGATTAAAGGTTGAGGAGTGGGGAAATAATGGGGGTCATATGTATCTCCAGTAGGGTCACGTTTGAGGACGATCTTACTGGTTAGTGGCATTTACAGTTTCTTTTTTATAAAACTCATCCCTACCCTCAAAATTAAGCATTTTGCCATTTTATAATAGTTAAAATATCATATTTTACTAAAAACCTTTTTATAATAGTTGTCACCACCAAATGTTGCCAGGAAAGTTTAGCAACTCATTGCTGGATTTTTATTGTTTAGCTTCATTGCTAATGATGTACTGTACGTTCTTTACAATTAAACAAGTCAACTGACACATTGTAAGTCTTATTTAAATCTCAATGTATACATACAAGAGAAACGTAAGTCTATTAAAGACATATTTTACATAAAATTTTGAAAAATTGCAGAAGACTGAGTGTATTCAATCTGTGTCAATAACTATGAAACCATTTTTATTTTTCCTGTAATACTTTGTGCAGCAATGGCAACAATCAATGATAGTGTTGTGTGGCTAGTATAATAAAATATTGAGCAGTTACTTTCTACTAATACTATATATTAATATGTAGGAAATGCTATTTCACGTCTTTAAAACGTGCATTGAATGGAAGTGGAGATTCTATTTATCGGATAAATAGAATCTCCACTTCCTGTCAGGTGTGGATTCAGGACATGTTTTTTTTTTTTTTTTAACTCTCTCCACCCTGTGGACACTAAGCGGGCCTCTTTTAGCAAGCCCATTATAAGTTCGGCCAGGTCCACGGTGGGACGACCGGGTGGTGTTTGCAGGTTGGGTTGATAAGATACAAACTATCTTCGTGAACTTCTAATCCGTAAATCCGCCTTAGAAGATGTGGTTGCAGACGAGAGGGATGAAGTATCTAGAGGAGGTTGCGGAAATATCCATTACTGATGCAAAGCCGATGTATCCGGCGATAGAATAATTCGATGTCTCCAAAAGGAGGAACTGGCCGCTAGTTGAGTCAGTTGTCGAATATTAAACGACGAAATCGGGAGAGTAGGTCAAGGTAGCGAGAAAGCGTCTTTTTTGAGGCTGAGAACTTAAAAGGAAGATATACTCCCAGGTGTGAAAGTTGAGATATCCGGCCGAAAAGTTGTTAATTTAGTTTGTTTGGATGGAAGTCCGGGTTTTCGCAAATTTTTTGATGTTAGTGCGCGTATCAAAATCGTTTGTTAATCAAATAAAGAGATACCCGGGTACTCGACCGAACAATCACCACCTACTAGAATGTTTGGTTAATAACAAATATTTTTATTTTAACTTTAATTTTCAACAATACGTGTCTGTGACACACTAAAATTTGTTGCAAATTCACGAGTTGTTCGTCAATCTCAATTTCTTCCCACAATTTATCAACAGCTTTTGCGGGCCCGTTCGTTTTGTATCCTTTAATTCAAAACCACATTTGACACATTTGGAGTTTAGAAGCAAATTCCCCATACACGGTACGAGTATTTTTTTTACTGTTTGTGTAGTGTGATATCCTTTACGAACCTTAAAATTCACATCGGGCTTATTATGCATGCTTTTTATCTGCATGCATTTGGGCTCGATTTTATTTAAATAAAAAGATTTGTTCGACCCGTTCGGATTCGAACCCCGGTCCTCTAGAGCGGTAGGCTGGCACAATATATCGCAGCGAAAAAATCGTATAAAGACGCTAAAAGAGACTCGTAAAATGCGGTAAAACGTCATCGCCGACTCGTGTCGCGACAGGATTGGTCGAATCTGGAGCAATAGCAGACGAACAGCCGAACTACTTACACGCTATGGAGAGTTTAGGCAGGTAAGTTGAGTTTAGGGTTTCTCATTTCCCGGTCTTTTGCTTGTCCCGGGATCCCGGGATAGAATTAATTATTTTTAAGGTATACAAAATATCTTGAAATCAAATGATATAATTATTTTCCATTTTTTAAAGTAATTTTAAAGTTCTGTAACCTCCAAAATCATATTAATAATGCTGTGTAAGGTCTATAGGCCTATAATAAAAATTACCTTTAAATAACGTAGAAATTTTCACAAATAGAAAAAAATTAATTAAAGTTTGCTGGAAACTGCATACAACAACAACAAAAAAAAATGTTTTGAATTGAGTTAAAAATTAAAAAAAATAAACTTCTAATTTAGAAGGTAATTTTCGTTTTTTAAATAAAATATAATACAAAATATTGCAAACTTTTATAAGATTTTAAAAAGCAAAGATGGTCAATACTCCGATAACTCACTCTAATTCTTATTTTAGTAATGAAAAGTCTTGCCACCGAGAATGCCCTTTCCGATTCAATTGATGTGATTGGAATAGTGTTTAATGCATTTAAGAGAAGACAGATATTATGTGTTTTTTCACCTGTAGCCTGGAAGATTTCGAGTTCGTTTTCGAGATTGTAGTACTTCTTTCGCTCTCTAGTATTCTTGATTTGTCTACCTTGGCTGCTTTAATAGCGGCATCAAGCTTAGAGCTCGATAATTCGGCAATTCATTTGGCTTTAATAATCAGGTTTATGAAGAAAAACTTCATACTTGCAGACTTTGTACTCGTTTGTATCCTTGCCCAATTCGCACAATCTGGCGTCAGGCATTTACTGTATTGAAGCTACTGGGCATGGTTAAAACTCAAGACAGCATAAGCACAATTATTCCAGATATTACAGGTTCCGACAAGTAAAGAATTTTTATAATCCTGCCACAAATAAGCTATACATTGATTATTGACCATTTGTGACATGCTATAACGAACAAAAATTTAAAAAAAAAAACTAATAGGTAGGTATAAAATTAATAAATTCAAATGTATTCTGACAGTTTATGAGTTAATTATGCTTTCTATTTGCAAAATTCCTCAACCTTAACACAAAATAAGAAAAAAAAGTGAATTTTTAAGAAATTTGCGGGATTTCCCGGGTTAAAAAAACAACCGGGATCCCGTTTGAGAAACCCTAGTTGAGTTTACTATCGTCTTACGGTATGTAAATTAGGTACTGTACTTTTATACATTTCTTATTCAACGGCCATAAAAATTATTTATATTAATGATGTCTCCAAAGTTCAATGAATTTTTCGCAGAAAAATAACTTATCAGAAAACGCGCCCGCCATTGGCGCGCTGCTCCGCGACGAAAACAAGCGTAATTAATCAATGGCGTCGTCGAACGATGCATACTCGGTAAGTAATCCTACAATTTTTTTGTTTATAGCATAGTTTATACGGATTATTCCCAAAAAATTATACGTGATTTGGAAATGTTGAGTCAAACTAGTCTAGAATCGATTAATTTTATGGAAGAAAACCTTTCAAACAGCCGTAGTCCGTACACTGCACACGTGCCGGGCTGTGATTGGCTCATATATTTATAAGAATTTCACGTTCTAGCAATCCTTAAGCAGGATGCACACATGCGGCGCGGCAAGGAAAAGCGGTGACACAAACGCATCTTCGCCGCGCGGCAGCACAACCACACAAGCGGCAATCCGCTTACATTTCGGCGCATGCGTTCAGTATTCAAGATGGCGAACGATATCCACGTGTTTACAAATTTTGTTTTGTATGACTCGCTTTATTTAGCTAAAAGATTTTGTCGAAGATTTGAATTAGAGATACTTTTTTGGATCGAGAAAGAACTGGTGTACAAAATAGACTTATTCGTGGATCAAGATCTCTCGATAAAGAATATTATTTCGAGTAAGATTCGGTTGTTTTGTTCTTTGAATTAAATTATATATGATTATTTGTGTAGAATTTGTTTTAAATTTGTTATCCTTTCCTCTTTATTCTGATTTTAATTATCTCGGTCAGAGTCGGTAGATTAACTGGTCTTTCGACTTCCTATCTTCGCTCGTTGCTAGAATCAACTAGAGACAAATGTTACCACCAGGGGCACTGCAATCACTACAAGA